CGGGACGGAAAACATGAAATTTTGTAATAATCTTGCGCCACCCTTGCACAAAACGACGATCATTTTTCTAAGTTCATAAACAACAGAAGACTGTATTTTTTCTACATAACCCCCCCCCCTGACTTTAAAGCTGGATCCGCCCCTGAATGAGAAATATACAGGGTGATGCGAAATAACCGATAAATAATGTGTTTGGAGTATGCAAAAACTTTGATCAACACATTTGCAGATACTCCCTGGCAAAAGGTGGTTGTATGCACTTTACGTGCATTCAGTGCAAGCATGAGTTTTGCTATGGATGTGGAAAGCCGTTTATGATGGGGGCCAAATGCGGCGTAAGCCAGTATTGCGCCAAACTCGGCCTTCATGCTCACCATCCGAGAAACTGCCTGTTTTATTTACGGGACAAGGAGCCGCATGATTTGCAAAAGCTCTTGAAGGTGTTTTTTTTTAACGATTCAAGCGCCGATTTCCATTGAAATGCAATTTTTAGGACAATAAAATCAAATTTGACACTGATCTTCCGTCTGAAAGTGAAGAAAATGCTAGCGCTCTCATCAAGTGTCCCGTTCCTCTTCAAAAGGAGTCACCCACTGGACTTATTGACACCATCTGCAATAATGATGTGAGCCCTGGACAAGCCGGACTGTGCAGGTAAAAATCGCCAGTTGTGCTGGTCACTAAATTCCTTCTAGAGGACACTGTGTTAGTAACACTAGGGGATATTATCTATTGCTTGGGGACCATTAGCGAGTATTGTAATATTTACAGAATGCACTACATAGAGTATCTAAGCAAATTGATTCGTAAAAATCGAATAGAAACAATAGCGATCCTACAAGAAGATGATCTCGAAACTATCGTCAGAAGAGCAGCTAAAAGGCTGCCCCCTAACGCTTATGGTACTCCCAAGGGCATGTACCATTTTAGACTTAAGCAGGTACTTTTGGTCTGGGTGTGAAAGCAAGATGTCCTAATTCAAGCAAAGCGGGTTTTAAGACGTCTTGCTATTTGTGGAACGTTAGCACGAAAGGTTCGTTTGTTCTTGTGTCGTTCAAACAGTCCATCCAGCTAACAGATTGTCGCCCTTATCAGAAAATCCGACTTTATTAAAGATTGTTGGAGTAATTGTAGATTGATTCAGGCCCAAAAGTTTCGAAAAGAGAATTTCTATCGGATGCGTAAGAGGAGGAGAGACCAAGACGCCCTAAGGATCCTTTGGGTGCTAACAAGAATCTTGCAATTTGCTGGCGATACAGTTCTGTTAGATGGAATGAAAATCGACTAAAGTGTTACATAAAACTTAATAACAAACCAATTGAATCCTAAAAACGCATGCAAAAACAAATCGACCTTTGACTGTCTTTCCGCATCGAATTCGTCAGCCCCCAGATCCGGTTTTTGCTTGCTTCTGGTGCCCTTACATCGGAACTAACAAGGCCCTTTCTGTTTGTTTTGTGTGTGGCAGGCAGCACTACATCGAGTACTTAGTGGGCCTGATATTCAGACACCAATTGGATCCGATTTCGATCTTGGATCTGGTGGAAGTGACTCAAGAGTTGCGCCGAAGAGGTCATCCACTTCCAGAGAGGGGTCCTTGGTGCGACGACAAACAATATAGGGAACTTTGTGCCAAGGTACTGTTACGGAGGTTACGAGCATTTAGAAATGAGGACTAATATGATTTCTAACTAATCCATCGGGGTTCAAAGAGACAGTTACTTATAGTTACTGGTTGTCTGGTTGAAAATGTACAGTTTCTGGTTATGACTTACTAAGTGCTATGGTAGTGCTGCTGCTCGTGTGTGTGCAAATTTTTAGAGGAATCCCTTGATTGAGTATACACTGCCCACATAGCAAAAT